ATATTAAAGTATCTGATGTAATCCGACCAATATCGACTACCTAAACTGCTAATGATATTCACGGTAATGTCTTATGGAGTTTGAAATATATACAAAAATTGAAAACATGAAGTCGACTATGAAATTGAATGGGACTTATAGTGTATAAGTCAAAAGGAACAAAATGAAAAAATGTTCTCATGTACTTGTATTATTAAAGTACCAAACAACATTAGACCTTGATAAATGTTAAGACGTATTTTTAGGGTACCCAGTAAAAGAGAATATAGGCTGAGAAGTGGAAGAAGAGCTGAGGGCAGAAGAATATTAAAAAGCTTACTTCAACCCCAGTGTGGGGACACATGCCTGTAGTCTCAGCACTCAGATCACCACAAATTTGAGGCCAACCTGAAATATGTAGAGTTCAAGATCAGCCTGAACTACATAGTAGAACCTGTCTCAAAAAAGCAAAACCAACCAACCAAACAAAAAACAACAAAAATGTACTTCAAAAAAGGAAAACATTTATTCCAAAAGAATTCAACCAAGGAGAAAAGGAGGCTCCTAGAGCAGATAAAACAAATACAAAGCAAATACTGAGGTGACATATTGAAACTGAATATATCAGAAATTACGTTGAGTGTAAATGAACTAACTGGCTCAGTTAAGACAGAAGTGCATGCACACTGAATACAGGAGGAAATCTCAGCTTTGTTTTTTCGGTGTCTTGCTATGTTCCTCAGGATGGCCTTCAACTCCAGGACTCAAGCAACCCTCCTCCTCCTCCTCGGCCTCCTGAGTAGGGGGACTACAGGTGTGCACCTCTGCACCTAGCAAACTATATGCCTTTTGTAAGTGATATAGGTAAACTGTAATAACATGGAAATGAAAATATAGTAAAAGATGTATGGTGTGAACCCTAACATTAAAGAATTGGTATAGGGCATATGATATTTTGACCTCCAAATAATCTAAATAAGCAAAATAATCCAAATAAGGGAAATACTATACCACCCAACCTGCTACACATCCGACACACCGAGTTCATGTTCTAAAATCGAAGAATGAATTCTATGAACAGAGGTTAAGAGTAGGAAGAATTTATTGAGAGAAAGCAAGCTTCTAAGAGAGAAAGAAGGGGAACTGAAAAGTGGGCTGCTCACTCACACTGCTTCTCACAGGTGTTTTATTGGGCAAAGCCATGAGGTGAGGCGGGTACAAGGTGGGACAAAACTACAGTTAACTAATAAGATTACAAGTATAGTTGCTTAGGTAATATTGATTAAATGGGGATCAAATGGGGAAGCAAGTCTCGTAGCAAGCATACATGGAAGGAACAAGGATTTCTCTATATATTTGCATGTACATACAAGATTTTAAAGGTTTCCATCACTCTAAAAATTTTCTAACTACTACAATATAATTCACAACCATCCAATCCATCATTTAAAAGGACCAATTGAAGAATTTTTAGTGTATTCACAGGTAAGTACAACCTTCACCACTATGAATTTTAGGACATTTTCATCACCTCCGTACCTTTTAGCTGTTACTCTTAACTCACTCCTCCATGACTTCCGGCCCTAAGAAACTACCAATCCATCGTCTGTCTCTATGGATTTGCTTATTTGGGACATTTCATATACATGGAATCTTCCATAGGTGGTCTTCTGTGACAGGTTTCTTTCCTTTTTTTGTATTCTTTTTTTTGCCAGTACCAGGAATCAAAACTCAGGACCTTGTGTTTGTCAGGCAGCCACAGCACCACTGAGGTACATTTCCGGCAATGACAGGTTTCTTTCGCTTAGCATGTTTTCAAGGCTCATTCATGTAGGGCCATAGATGGATGATACGTCTTCCTTCTCATTGCCATGTAACACTCTATGGTACAGATACACCATTTCATTTACTCATTTATTCACTGATGGGCATTTGGGTCATTTCCACTTCTATGTACACATAGGAGCATAACTGCTGGGGCCAAACTATCTTCTACACTGGCTGGACCATTTAATAATGCTACCAATGATGTACGAGGGTTCCAATTTTTCCATATCCTCATCAACAATATTTTTTTTATTATAAGCATCCTAGTGGATGCGAAATGTTACTTCATTGAGGTTTAGCCCAACACTCTTTACTGGCAAATATGTTTCCCTCTTATATACTACAGAAAATTTCTCATCTACATCCTTGCATGCTTGAAAAATAAACCTGTGAGTTGGTATGTGCATGCTTCACTTTGGATCCCATCAGCATTTTCAAAATTATGATTATCTTTTTAAAATGGTCAAAGGCTGGGGATGTAGCCCAGTGGTACAACACTTGCTTAACATGTGCAAGTGATACAGGTGTATGATATATGGACCTCCAAATAGTGTAAGGGAAACAATATAACTCCCAACCTGCTCCATGTCCAACACGTTGAGTTCCTGTTCTCTAAAATCGAAGATTGCATTCTAGGAACAACAGAGGCTAAGAGTAGGAAAAATTTATTAAGAGAAAGAGTCTAAGAAAGAACGGGGGCCCAGAAAGTGGGTGGCCCACCTACCTTGCTTCTCAAGAGAGTTCTATTGAGCAAAGCCACAAGGTGAGGAGGGGACAAGGTGGGACAAAGTTATAGTTAACCAATAATATTTAAAAGTGTAGTCATTTAGGTAATATTGACCAATGGGAAATCACAAGGTGGGTATGAGGTGGGATGAAACTACGATTGACCAATAAGGTTACAAGTATTGTTGCTTAGGTAACATTGATTAAATGGGGATCAAATAGGAAGCAAGTCTCAAGCATATTAGGACCTGAACAAGGATTTTCAGGGAAGGAATGGGTTAAGGCCTTGGTTCCTCCACCCAGGTGATTGATGCCTATTTAGAATATCAGACACTGCTGTTCAACCCTAGGCGAAGTATGTGGGTGTAGTCTCCTTCTTTTCTTGAAGCCTAGCCTTCAGTGAAAGTGCCACCAGCCACAATTGTCTTCTGTGCTGACTGTCCCAAGGGTTTAGCCCTTCCTTAACTGCCTATCATATATCTAAATAATTTAGCTGTAGGCAATCCAAGGTCTTGGATTTGATCCCCAACACTACAAAAATGGTAATGAAAAAGATCACTCAACATTCTGGCAATTCACTATACCCCTCCCTGACACCCGACTGATTAATAACTACACAAGGGAAATGCTGAAATATTTAATTTCTTGAGGACCTACACTTCTCTTACTTGGTTAATTTTTTCTTGAATATCTAGACCCAACTCTGATATGTGATATTTTTCCCATAAAGGTGACTGAAGTGAGGATTTACACAATGAATAACAACAGGTGCAACTGAAAAGTTTAGAGCTTTAATCAGAGTCAAATATGGCCAACTGGAACCCAACAATAGAAAGAACAACATTCTGGAGGCAAGGTTTTACAAAAGCACTTACTTTCTTGACTTGGGAGAGTAATTTTTCTTTAAAAAACAAAGAACTGCCTTACAAAGTACTAACACTATGTATTTTTACCTGAAGCAATAAAAGAAGGAGTAGAAATTCAGCCTGCTGGTTACCACAGAGGTTGGAAGAGGTTTCCCAAGAAGTGTAGCTATGGCTGGGATGGGAGAGCACCTGGGAAGTGCACATGCAAATAAGTGCTGGGAAACCTTGGGGAATTCACCTCCTTTCCGTATTTTGAGAGGTCATTGTAGGTTATTAGTGTTCTAATCATTACATTTATGGGAAGCAGTCAAAGTAGTTCAGGTAACAAAGCTGTAATGGAAAAGGCCAAGGGAGTGGTGGCTAGAGAAAGAAGAGTTAAATGAGTAGCCGGGTGTGGCGCAGCACACCTGTAATCCCAGCACTTGGGAGGCTGAGGCAAGAGGACTGCTGGGAGTTCAAGGCCAGCCTGGGCTACAAAAAGACTCTCAAAAAACCGAAAAAAAGTTTGAGTGATCCAGGTTTTGGAAAGTTAAAATCTTGGAAGCTGCTGTGTATTTCAGGAGCCAGGAAGAATACTCTTTTCCAAGACTCTGGTCCAGGTGTGGTGACACAAACCTGTGATCCCAGCACACGGGAGGCTGAGGCAGGAGGATGGCCACAAGTTTGAGGCTACCCTGAACTCATAGTAAGACCCTGTCTAAAAACAAACAAACAAAGCACTGACTCTAAAAATATTCATTAACTACCAGCTTCCTTAAATTTAGAGGAAGCTGCATTAAAACAACTAATTCATATGAGTGTTGTCTTTTTTGGCAAGCTCATGTTACCTTCAAAGTAAAGATAGGAAAATACTGGTGGATATCAGCAGGGTCAGAAGTCACACAAACTCGCGAGTTTTGTGTTCAACACCTAAAGCCCCCAGGAGCCTACTATATCCACCAGGAATTTAGTTAAGCAATCCACATACTGACCGAGCCCCTAAAGTGCAAAGGGTGATGCTTACTTTCCTGCTTTGGGGGTTTCAAAGACACTTGAAAGATCACTCAGAGCAGAAAACCTTCCTGTGACACTCCTACTATGCCCTTGAAATTACTGCCATTGTAGCCAAGTGATCTCATTTACTGCCCCTTTGTTTCAATTTACCAAGGTTCTGCCTCTGTTTATCTCTAGAGGGTGCTGAATTGCCACCTAGTTACTCATCCTGAGGATGTGATTGTTATTCTTACACAAACACCGACAGAGGGGTACAGGGGGTCAGGACTCAAGTCTGTAGGATGGGCATATTGATCTAGAAGGTAGTACCTGTCTATAATAACAGACTCCCAATGAGCAGTGCACATCTATCATTACTGACTGCTCTACCTCTTTTTATTTTTAATTTTGGTTTTTTTGGTATCGGGGATCGAACTAGGGACTTTGCGCTTCCAAGGCAGGCGGCAGCACCACTGAGCTAAATCCCCGGCCCCTCTACCTCTCTTTTTAAAGAGAAAGGTTTCAAAGCTCACTTTCAGTGAGCTTAACATAAACTCTAATCCTCAATCCCACAAGGCGGACGCTAGTTACTCTCATTTTATAGATCAATTACACAGTGGAGGCGAATCCGCGCGCACCCAAGCAGAAGAGCAAGGGCGGTGGCGGAGGAGGAAGAGTACCCCGGGAAGGGAAGGCTTCGTCCTTCCTAGTCTGCGCACTCTCGCCACTTGGCTCTCAAAAGCTCCAGACTCCGCAGGCCGCTGGGGTCGCGAGGCCTCCGTCGGCTTGCTAGACGTCACACACCGCGCGGGGAGGCTTGGGTCGCTCACCACTGCCGCCGAGGACCCACCACGCGGGATTGCCAGGATGTTACACTGAAGGGTTAGTGGCCGGGACGGCGCGCGGGTGCCCGCTCGTAGGCCGGAAGTGAGTGCAACTGAGGGAGCGCTCTGGAACGCGGACTCAAGCAGAAAGTGTGTGCTACCAGGGGAGCGAGCCGGCGGCAGAGCCGGAAGTGTGCGCCGCTGGATCGTTCCGGCGCCCGGTTGCGGCCGCTCCGCGTTGGCTTGCTTCCTGTGTGCGGTGACGTCGTTCGCTGGCAGTCCCACCTGCGCGTGGTCACCAGTGGCTGGTTCCCGCGGTCCCCTTCGCTCCGCCACTTTCGTTGTCCGCGCGTTTCAGCGAAGGCCGACCCGACATGAGCAACAAAGAAGGTGGCGTCCCCGCGGCGCGGGGCGGCATTCGAGCAAATGAGGGCCGGCCCTCCGGCCTTTTGTGCGGCGTTCCCCCCTCACCTTCGAGGGTTGCCCTCTCTCCTTGCACGCTCGGGGCGACTCTGGGGCACCCCCACAAGATTGGCTTTATTTATACCCCCTTTTTCTTAAATCTCGGAGTTGTACGTTCATGCAGTTCGGTATTGCTGCCTCTCTGCCAGTCATGGTTCAGTTAGGAGAAGCCTGGGTGGTGGGTGAAGACAGGGTCGCTTTTGCTGTCAATCCGTGGAGGCCTCTAAGGCCGGGCCCGAGGTTGGGTGGTGGTGTCTGGTTTTCAAGGAAGGAAGGGTCTGCCTGTCTTCTCGTGTGCACACTCCATAATGATGGAAGATACCTGCCCAGCTTTTCTTTTTCTTTTCTCCATAAGGGTCAGGAGGGTTCAGGAAGAGGAAGCATGACAACTTCCCCCATAACCAAAGAAGAGAAGGGAAGGATGTTAATTCATCTTCTCCCGTGATGTTGGCCTTCAAATGTAAGTGCTCCATATTGTCAGTTGGCTAAAAGGGGAGTACCAGCTAAAGGCTGTAACAACAATTACGTAGCCATGTTCTGCACAAGGAAATAGCCCTTAAGAATTTAGGATATTCAAATGAGAAACCTTATTTTCTTGGATATTTTGTGAATGTGCTAGATTTGCCCTGAAAGTCTGGTATCCAAAGACCTTAACTTTTGTCCTCTTAAGGTAGACATTAACATTAGTAAACAGGTTAACAGTTTCACAAGGTAACATTTGAATGTTAGTATTAGGCATGCCATATACTTAAAGTTTGTCCTGTACCTGATACTGTGTCATCCATCGTTTACTGACATATATTTATATTTAGAATGTATTAGTTTTGTTAACTAGATTTTGAAGATGTTTTGACATTGCACTTTCCACATACTAGGAACTATTACTAATAAATCTTACATATGTGCACGTGTATTTTCACAGTCCCCATTTTTACAGCCTTTTGAGTTGGTAACTTAAAAACTCCGAGATGGCTCATGCCTGTAATCCCAGCTCTTAGGAGGCCGAGGCCGGAAGATCACTGTCAGCTCAAGGTCAGCCTGAACTACATAGTGAGACTGTTTAGGAAAGCCAAAATGGGCGGGGGATTTAGCTCAGTGGTTCTGCCACCTGCCTCATAAGCACAAGGATCTGAGTTCGATCCTTGGTACCAAAAAAACCCAAAAACCAAAAGCCAAAACAAAAACAACCCTCAATCTTTTGTCCACCTCTATCTGCTATCCTATACCTATGGTTCAGCAGTCTGGGAGGTGCTTGGTTGATTCTGACTTGGAGTCATCTGAAGGTTGGGTTGGGGAGGGAGGTACCCCAGCTGTTGAGAATTTAGACCTGCTTGCAGCCTAAACTCTCTGTAGAGCTCCTTGATTGTCCTTTCTCCTCTCTGTAGAGCTGCTTGATTGTCCTTGTGTGTGGCATCTGACTTCCCCTAGCAGACAAAACCCACAATCTGCTTGTGTGCTAAGCTCAAACACAATACAGTCTCTTTTGCTACACTAATTTGTTACAAGCAAGGCAGTTTAAAAATGCTTCTTTTGGGCTGGGGATTTAGCTCAGTGGTTTCGCCCCTTGCTGCGCAAGTGCAAGGACTGGAGTTCGATCCCCAGTACCAAAAAAAAAAGAACCAAACAAAAAAAAATGCTCCTTTAAGGGCAAGGGAATTAGTTCCCACATCTTAAAAGTGATAGAGTCTCGTACAAATTGTGAACATACTTGAAAACCAACACAGTACCCACAAGTGATCTTCATAGGTTTCAGAACACTAGCTGTAACTTAGCAGTGAACATTTTGTTGGGTTTTTTTTTTTTTTTGGTACTGGGGTTTGAGCTCGGGACCTTGCGCTTTCGAGGCAGGCACTGGAACCACTGAGCTAAATCCTAGCAGCAGTGAACACTTTGATAAGCTGTCTACAGTACAGAGTGAAAGAACTGCAGTGGGTCAGGTATTCCCCATCCTTAGACTCCACTCCTTACAGAGTTGCTTGTTTCCAGCTTATTTTGCTGTTTTACTAATTTTTTGTACTGGGGATTGAACTTGGGACCTTGTGCTTGTGAGGCAGGTGGCGGAACCACTGAGCTAAATCCCCGGTCCTATTTTGCTGTTTTATGTTTCTACCTGACTGTGCATGAAAAGTTCTTTTCAGTTCTGAGTTTCTTCTAATGAATATAGTGTCCCCATACCTGTTTGGTGGACCATAGTTTTCTTCAGTCTGAGCTCTAGTGGCTTTTTGATGATAAACGTTAGATTTATCTGTTACTCATCCATTAGTCCAGAGATACTTATTGAGTGTCTTCTCTCCTAGACCTTTTACATATAGTATAGCATGATCACATTTTGTTTATATCTGTCTCATACTGAACTGAGCTCTTTGAGGATCGGAATTGTATATTATCTATTTTTTTCCTGCCTTGGACTGGAGATCAAACTCAGGGCCTTGTGCTTATCAGGCAGGTGCGGTGCCACTGAGCTACATCCCCTATATTATCTATCTCATGGAGTTCACTAAAGTGTTCAAAATAAACAATATGTGTTTATAATCTTGAAATATTAGAGAAAATCCTGTCCTAATTGTCTCAGAAATAAAAGACCAGATATATTAAGGTCCTTGCCACATAATAATTTGGCTAAAAGTTTATTTAAGTTCTTATTTTTTAATCTATGCAGAATATATCTATTGGTTTTCTGTAAGCCAGGCAGTATCCTTGGGCTTTAGAGTGAAAATGCTTCTGAAATAAAATAATTTCTAAGAGAGTTAAGTGGCTTTTGAGTATTTAAACAACTAGGGCTAGAGAATTCAGAAAGTTTATACTTGAAATTTGCTCCATGAGTAGATGTTAAATGTTCTCAGCTACAAAATAAAGATAACTATGAGGTGATAAATATGTTAATTAGCTTGGTAACGATAATAATTTCACAAAGTATACAGAGTCCATCATGAACTTTTTTTTTTTTTTTGGGTACCAGGGATCGAACTCAGGACCTTGAGCTTGCGAGGCAGGCGGTGGAACCACTGAACTAAATCCCTGGCCCTAAAATGGCCATAGTAATGCTGTTAGTAGTTTAGTTTTTTTTTGGTAGCGGGGATCAAACTTGGGACCTTGTGTTTGTGAGGCAGGCACCTGAACCACTGAGCTAAATCTCCAGCCCTAGAGACTGTCAAAGAATGTATACACACTTCAAGAAAAGAAAAACGTGTATAAATATGTTAGTACTAAATTTACTGAGACATCATGAAATCAGTACAAGTTACATTGGGCTCTACAGTTACAACAAAGTGGTGGCCATTAGCTTTCAGACATTTGTTAATATGAACTGCTGCTTGGGTAACCTTGGTCCATTGAGATTGCTGCACATGCATTTTCAATTTCTTCTCTAAGGGCCAGCAGTATTGTGGGTTTTCTGAGATATACGACATCCTCTAGGATCCCCATCTGTAGGTAACACCATCTTTTGAAAAAACATCATACTATTTTTCTTTTCCTGAAGTGTGGATACATTTTTTTTGGTGGACTCTATATATTGAAACATGACATTGTATATTTTATTTTGTTTTTTTTGAGACAAAGTCTCACCACATAGTTCAGGCTGGCCTTGAACTGAAGGTAATTCTGCTTCATTCTCCCGAGTGGTGGGATTACAGGCTTAGAGCACCATGCCTGGCTTCACATGCTATATACATATACAGTTTTTGTCAGTTGTATCTCAGTAAAGCTGAAAAAAGAATGACAAACACAAAGAATGGGGAAAAGTTATAAAGTTAAAATATCTGACTTTTTGGGAGAAATTTATATTGTATTTGGCAAGGTAATTTATTTATTTATTTATTTTTTGGTACCGGGAATCGAACTTGGCAAGGTAATTTAAAAGCCTAATCTTAGAGGGATAATTGAAAGTCATCTTGTAAAAGAATAATTTTGTAAGCAGTTAAGTGTCCTCATTTTGTGATCATGATCTTGTTTATTAGGGCAAATGATCTCTTACATTATGTACCCAGTTAAAGGAACACTTGTACTTAAGAATAATTTGGTTACTAACAGACTCTTTGATTTCCAAGTGCTTCAGAAATAGTGCTCGCTTCGGCAGCACATATACCAAGTGCTTCAGAAATAATACAGTATGGTTTTGTCCTTTTCATTTTTCCCTGTTAGGTGTTTTATTTTGTTCTTTATATTTTGGGTGTCTCATAAGAGAAACCATGTAATGCTTATTGGGTTGTGCATCTGATTTATTTCACTGAACATTAGTGTCAATATGCATGTATTTTTCTACAAATAACTCAGATTTATCCTTCTTTATGACAGAGTACTACTCCATTATGTATAAAAACCACATTTTCTCTGTCAATTTCTTTGTTGTTTTTTTTGGTACCAGGGATCAAACTCAGGACCTTCTGCTTGCGAGGCAGGTGGCGGAACCACTGAGCTAAATCCCCTGCACTAGCTCATCTTAATTCTTTTATTTCCCTTTTCCCTCCTTCTGTCTCTTGGCCCCTTCTCATTTGCAAAAAATCTTATCTCCTTGTTTCCTATTATATATCATTTATTTTGTTCTTTATTCATACTTTGGGTTTCTCATGTAAGAGAAACCATGCAATATTTTAAGTTTGTATATCTGATTTATTTCATTTAATTAACTTTTTATTTAGAATTGTTCTTTATTTTAAAAATTTGAGGCCAGGTGTGGTAGCACTTGCCTGTAATCCCAGTACTCGGGAGGCTGAGGCAGGAGGATTGCCATGAGTTCAAGGCCAGCTGAACTACATAGCCAGACTGTCTCAAAAAAAAAAAAGAGGGCCAGGGATTTAGCTCAGGGGTTCCGCCGCCTGCCTCACAAGTGCAAGGACCTGAGTTTGATCCCTGGTACCAAAAAAAAGGATAGTATAATTGGAAAAGTAATAACTTCTATATAGGTTTTATGCCAGTTTTGCTTTATTAATCTTTCTATATGTAAATTTATCTGTGTACACCCTTTTTTCAGAATCACTTGTGAATAAGTTGCATTCGTCATACTCCTTTACCTTTTTTTTTTTGGTACCGGGTCTTTGCGCTTGCGCAGCACGCAGTAAAACCACTGAGCTAAATCCCCAGCCCAAAATTTACCACCTTAACCTTTT